TAGGATGGCAGCTTCCTGTACGGAGTTGGCAAGGGAGATGAAAGTTACCTACTTGTCATTGGCTATTTTGTATGTAATTTCCAGTAAATATCCTATAACGGAAAGTATTTGTTTTCTGTTTATAAAGTACAAGGTACTAAAGAGATAAGTGGTTACGTCTCTAGGCTAATGCCAAGTGCATAGCTGATAGTCAAGTGCAGTGGCGGCACCAGGGTATGGCTGGGATAGGCTACAGCCATACCATGAAAAATGATGTTAAAGTAAGCTAATTCAATTAAATAATAAGCAAAATGCTAAATGTTGAGAACACGGCTTGCGAAAATATACGGGTCGTGTCCACAACACACAAACTGATCCTGCTGTAACAACAAGTGCACGTTACTGATGCAACATGGTTGAGACCATTCAGGGTTATGCTAGAAGAGGGGTGCAAGGAATAGTCCAAGTAGTGGGGGAGTTTTATACACTAAAGGTGTGAAATTCTCTGGCGTTATAATATCAGCGCGGCCGCGGTCAGATCAAAATGCCTCCGAATGCAATTGGAATAGACCTACAGCCAATCAGAGCAACGAAACGTTGGGTCTGCGTCATGCATTACTGATTGAGATCAATCGGAACCGCCATTCGGTACCCCCATTGGATCTTCAACGTGGACAATCATACGTCACGTTCACAGTGATCCCTTTTTATTTACTACAAGATAAATGTGCCGTTTTATTTCATACAGTTCCATTTTGATTGAGACAAGGGAATAATCTAAACCTCACGCGTGGCGTTTCACTGTCAAAGGGAGCGTGTATGTAATTACAATGCAAATACTGACTTGAGCCCCACCACTGTATGGATTAGCCCTACCATAGATTACCCAACAAAAACACTCTGGCGCCGCCACTGGTCAAGTGGTTTGTTTACATGACGTAACACACGTACATATTCAACAGAATCATCATGGACAGACGGCTTCCAATGTGACGTAGTGCAATCGTTAGAGATGAACTGGTAAATCGGGAGCTTGCCTTCCAGCTCCGGTTCAACCTGTTTATCTCACGCTCCATTTTCCCTTCTCCTCGGCAAAAAGACCCCAAGCTACCTGACCTTTTCTTGCATGGGGCAACAACTCATTCCCAACCTTTATGGATACATCTATCGTTTTACAGCAGAAATCCATGAGGATGGTACTGACTCTCATCCCGATCTCTGCACAATTTTCTGAAAAAGTGCCCCAGTATGTGCTCGAGGTCATAATGAAACCAACAGTCACATCATCTGCATAGAGTCGCAATTCTGACGTCACTAAACGGGACACTATACTAACACAATGGACATTTTGAAGGCGTTCTTTCCCACTGATTGTGAATGTGTCTTCAGTGTGTTCAGTGAGGTCGGACTCTCAACACCTGCATGCACAAAAACAGCTGGACACAACAGCAAAGCATTATGGGAAACAGAGAAATCTAGGAAATCACTAAATGATGGAGAGAGAGAGAGAGGGAAAGGCAGGGGAGAGAAAGAGATGTAATCTCACTGTGCTGTCCGTCACTGGGTTTATCTCTCTGCCTCTGTGTGTGTGTGTGTGTGTGTGTGTGTGTGTGTGTGTGTGTGTGTGTGTGTGTGTGTGTGTTCAGGGTCCTCAGGTACTAACACATAAATTACGGCCCAGATCACACACACACACACACACACACACACACACACACACACACACACACAGTCACACACACACACAGATCTAGGTCACAGCTGTTCACTACAATATTTCTGTTTTCACTTCCTCTGGAAACTGTCACATCTCTCTGTTTCTATCATCCTCCTCCAGTTTCCTTTTAATTGACTTTGATTGAAACACGAAGTCGAGGAAATAAGAATAGACTCTTTACTACGTATTTGGATCCTTTACTTCGGTAAAAGTCCTAACACTGAAAACACTCCACACACCCCACAAGTCCGACATTCAACACCCTAATTAAATTAAACTATTATGATGACTTTAACTGAAGTTTAAGTATTTAAAGTAAAAGTATTTATTGTGCAAATGTTCCCTCAGTGTTTTATATGATATGTTATGTCTTTAGATTAATATTACTGCTGCATTCATGTGTATATTTTCAGATGTTTTTACCTCCTTTATAAACTGTTGGCTAGCTTAATCTACCACAATGCATCCTGTTCTATAATATCATCATATGCTTGTTTTTTCGTATATTTTTCACATATTCATTGGGTGTTTTTCGCGTAATCATCAGACATTTTTACATGTTTTCGGCCCATTTTTCACAAACGTACTTCAGTCAGACAACTCACGTGTTCTTAATATGTTTATTATAGCAGCTTATAGTTTGAGTTTGGCGTATAGGCTCGGGCCTCATCACTCCACAGATTTACAAAGAACATTGAGGGATGATTAGATAACTATCCCCCGAGCCTACAGGTGGAAGCTGGGGTGGAAGCTGGGGTGGAAGCTGAGGTGGAGCTGGGGTGGAAGCTGGGGTGGAAGCTGTGGTGGAAGCTGTGGTGGAGCAAGGGTGGAGCTGGGTGGAAGCTGGGGGTGGAAGCTGGGAGTGGAAGCTGGGGTGGAAGCTGGGGTGCAGCTGGGAGTGGAAGCTGGGGTGGAAGCTGAGGTGGAGCTGGGGTGGAAGCTGGGGTGGAAGCTGTAGTGGAAGCTGTGGTGGAGCAAGGGTGGAGCTGGGGTGGAAGCTGGGGGTGGAAGCTGGGAGTGGAAGCTGGGGTGGAAGCTGGGGTGGAAGCTGGGGTGGAAGCTGGGGGTGGAAGCTGGGGTGGAAGCTGGGGTGGAGCAGGGGTGGAAGCTGGGGTGGAAGCTGGGGTGGAAGCTGGGTGGAAGTTGGATGGAAGCTGTGGTGGAGCAGGGGTGGAAGCTGGGGTGGAAGCTGGGTGGAAGTTGGATGGAAGCTGGGGTGGAGCTGGGGTGGAAGCTGGGTGGAAGCTGGGTGGAAGTTGGATGGAAGCTGTGGTGGAGCAGGGGTGGAGCTGGGGTGGAAGCTGGGGTGGAAGCTGGGGTGGAAGCTGGGGTGAAAACTGGGGTGGAAGCTGGGTGGAAGCTGGGGTGGAAGCTGGGGTGGAAGCTGGGGTGGAAGCTGGGGTGGAAGCTGGGGTGGAAGCTGGGGTAAAAACTGGGGTGGAAGCTGGGGTGGAAGCTGGGGTGGAAGCTGGGGTGGAAGCTGGGGTGGAAGCTGGGGTGGAAGCTGTGGTGGAAGCTGGGGGTGGAAGCTGTGGTGGAAGCTGGGGTGGATGCTGGGGGTGGAAGCTGTGGTGGAAGCTGGGGGTGGAAGCTGTGGTGGAAGCTGTGGTGGAGCAGGGGTGGAAGCTGGGGTGGAAGCTGGGGTGGAAGCTGGGGTGGAAGCTGGAGTGGAGCTGGGGTGGAAGCTGGGTGGAAGTTGGATGGAAGCTGTGGTGGAGCTGGGGTGGAAGCTGGGAGTGGAAGCTGGGGTGGAAGCTGGGGTGGAAGCTGGGGTGGAAGCTGGAGTGGAAGCTGGGGTGGAAGCTGGGGTGGAGCTGGGGTGGAAGCTGGGTGGAAGTTGGATGGAAGCTGTGGTGGAGCAGGGGTGGAGCTGGGGTGGAAGCTGGGGTGGAAGCTGGGGTGGATGCTGGGGGTGGAATCTGGGGTGGAGCTGGGGGTGGAAGCTGGGAGTGGAAGCTGGGGTGGAAGCTGGGGGTGGAAGCTGGGAGTGGAAGCTGGGTGGAAGCTGGGGTGAAAGCTGGGGTGGAAGCTGGGTGGAAGCTGGGGTGGAAGCTGGGGTGGAAGCTGGGGTGGAAGCTGGGGTGGATGCTGGGGGTGGAAGCTGGGTTGAAGCTGGGGGTGGAAGCTGTGGTGGAAGCTGGGGGTGGAAGCTGTGATGGAAGCTGGGGGTGCAAGCTGGGGGTGCAAGCTGTGGTGGAAGCTGTGGCGGAGCAGGGGTGGAAGCTGGGGTGGAGCTGGGGGTGGAAGCTGGGGTGGAAGCTGGGGTGGAAGCTGGGGTGGAAGCTGGGGTGGAGCTGGGGGTGGAAGCTGGGGGTGGAAGCTGGGGTGGAGATGGGTGGAAGCTGGGGTGGAAGCTGGGGTGGAAGCTGGGGTGGAAGCTGGGGGGTGGAAGCTGTGGTGGAGCTGGGGTGGAAGCTGGGGTGGAAGCTGGGGTGGAGCTGGGGTGGAAGCTGGGTGGAAGCTGGGGTGGAGCTGGGGTGGAAGCTGGGGTGGAAGCTGGGGTGGAAGCTGAGGTGGAGCTGGGGTGGAAGCTGGGGTGGAGCTGGGGTGGAAGCTGGGGTGGAAGCTGGGGTGGAAGCTGGGGTGGAAGCTGGGGTGGTGGGGCAGGCAAGCAGCAGCAACATGAAACACAGCAGCAGCAGCATGAGCGAGGCAGAGGCAGGAAGACCTGGCAGCTTAAATAGAGCGGCATGTTTAGGAGAATGTGTTTGGTTGGTTGTAAGAGGGACGAGGTGCGTCACGTCACGTGTCAATGTATGATTGGTGCTCGAGTTGACTGAACTAGCTCGCAGGCTTCGCCCCATTATTTGTTTTTCATAGATTTTGTGGATACTTTTCAGACATGTTTGCAGACATACTTTAGCTATTATTTCAAACATGTTTAAATACCTGTTTTTTGCCAAGGTTGATCTTTCCCTTAACTCCATCTGGTCTGTTTATTATTTTGTCCAACCAGGCTTTGCGTAGCCACATTGGTTGAAATTAGCTAAATATGCAGGCATGACATTAAAAACATTTTAAATACCATCAAGCTGCACCCTATGAACTTCAAGACAACACACTCTTACAGGGTTTTTTCTGGACATTAAATTATTCATTAAAAAATACACCTTAAAAATAGATATGTTTAGATATCAAAGTGAGGACAGTGAATATAATTTAAAAGCTGTAATCTTCTCTATCCCCAGGTACTGGTCGTAATGGTTACACCAATACGATGGAAGGGGAAGAGGGAGGAGGTGAGGGTGAGGAAGAGGAGGAGGGAGGAGGAGAGGGGGATGGAGGAGAAGAAGGAGGAGAAGAAGGAGGAGGAGATGGAGAGATGAAGGACCCAGAATGGGATGAAGAGCTGGACGGAGAGGAGGGAACGATGAGGATGACGAGGACAGACACACTTCATTCGACCACGAGTTCAACCGGGACACAGAGGAGGAGGGGACAACATCATAAAAAACAGGTGAGCTAACATGCTGAAAACAGGTGAGAAGACACACTAAGAAACAGGTGTGCTAACATTCTTTAAATAGATAATAAAACAAGCTTAGAAACAGGTGGGCTAACATGCCAAAAACATGGCAGACAAAATAAAGGTTGAGACACGCTGAGTAACAAGCTAGAAACAAATGTCAGAAAAAGGTAGGGTGACATGCTAAGAAGCAGGAGATAACAAACACACACATTAGACAACATGCTAACAAATGGGTTAGACAACAGGTGAAACAAGTCAGACACCACATAAAGAAACAGGTGTGATAGTTTGCTAGCAACTGGTGAGACAAGACCAATTGATTATTCAATAGACCAACCCTACAGAAATATGCCAAATCTGATATGTTCACACTCACATCATATCAAGTAGCAATGCACTGCAGTCATTGGTCAAGAGTTAAATAACTACACAAGCCCGACCTGTAAATAGAAGAACGTACACATTTTAGTAGCACCATTTGTTATGGTTTAGTACAGAGACAAGGACCAGTGGCGGTTCTAGACCAATTTGACTGGGGGGGCCACTGGGGGGCCAGTTATTTTGCACAATAAATGCAGGACGAAAAAGAGAACTAGACAGTATGAAGTAATTGCGCATAAGAAAACAATGCAATACAGTTATTGGTATTTGTTTCAGTACACTTATTTATTTCAGATAGATCTTATAGTTATTACTGTTAGCTTCAGCTTAAGTTATGGTGCAATGTTTGCACTAACACCATATGTATATAAAAATAAAGGCAATGAACAGTTACATCTCTACTTTACATAAGGGTGTCTGCACAATCTCACATTACAGAAACAAAATCCTTTTTTGGCAAACCGAGTACCAGAAAATATACATTTAAAAAAAAACAAAAAAAAACTTTTCATTGTTAGGGGGGCCACAGGGGGGTCAGAGGTCAGTGTTAGGGGGCACTGGCCCCCCCTGCCCCCCCTAGAACCGCCCCTGACAAGGACGATGTGTCCTGAAAGTAATTGTTAAGATTATCCATGCAGAACTTGTCTGTAAATCATTAATCCAGGATAAAAAAAACAATTAAGATCGGACTTCAAATAATGATGATGATGATGATGATGATGATGACCATGATGATGATGATGATGATGATGATGATGATGATGATGATGATGATGATGATGATGATGATGATGATGATGATGTTTCTCTTCTTCCTCAGGTCCAGGGCAGTAATCAGGTCCAGAGAGCTCCCAGAGCGTTATACTGTCTGAAACTCAACAACCCCATCAGAAGAGCCGCTCTCTCCATCGTCGAGTGGAAGTATCCTTTAATCTACACACATGTAGGGGCAACTAACTGCTGCTATGTTACAGTGCGTTAAACCAGAGCTCAAGAACACATCAGCATATGCAGCAAATCCGATTGAAAGAAAATAACTTTCTTTGTGGAATCAGAACAGATTAATATGCGTTTTGCTTTTGCATTGGTCCATGTAACATCTGACGTCCTACCCCATATAGTTGCAATTCAAAAAAATAAGGATTTACTGCTTTAAACTTTGCATATAAAATATAAATGAGAAACCGATAATGTTCCACAACAAACAATATGATGCTGTATTAATCATTTTCTTGCACCTTAAATGTCACTGTGCAAAATCCTCTTCTTCATGTCTCTTCTACATCAACATGTGTCCCCTCTTCTCCATGTCTCTTCTACATCAACATGTGTCCCCTCTTCTCCATGTCTCTTCTACATCAACATGTGTCCCCTCTTCTCCGTGTCTCTTCTATATCAACATGTGTCCCCTCCTCTTAATGTCTCTTCTACATCAACATGTGTCCCCTCTTCTTCATGTCTCTTCTACATCAACATGTGTCCCCTCTTCTTAATTTCTCTTCTACATCAACATGTGTCCCCTCTTCTCCATGTCTCTTCTATATCAACATGTGTCCCCTCCTCTTAATGTCTCTTCTACATCAACATGTGTCCCCTCTTCTTCATGTCTCTTCTATATCAACATGTGTCCCCTCCTCTTAATGTCTCTTCTACATCAACATGTGTCCCCTCTTCTTCATGTCTCTTCTTCATCAACATGTGTCCCCTCTTCTTCTTGTCTCTTCTACATCAACATGTGTCCCCTCTTCTTCATTGTCTCTTCTACATCAAACATGTGTCCCCCTCTTCTTCATGTCTCTTCTACATCAACATGTGTCCCCTCTTCTGTCATGTCTCTTCTACATCAACATGTGTCCCCTCTTCTCCATGTCTCTTCTTCATCAACATGTGTCCCCTCTTCTTCATGTCTCTTCTTCATCAACATGTGTCCCCTCTTCTTCATGTCTCTTCTACATCAACATGTGTCCCCCTCTTCTTCATGTCTCTTCTACATCAACATGTGTCCCCTCTTCTTCATGCTCTCTTCTTCATCAACATGTGTCCCCTCTTCTTCTTGTCTCTTCTTACATCAACATGTGTCCCCTCTTCTTCATGTCTCTTCTACATCAACATGTGTCCCCTCTTCTTCATGTCTCTTCTACATCAACATGTGTCCCCTCTTCTTTCATGTCTCTTCTACATCAACATGTGTCCCCTCTTCTTCATGTCTCTTCTACATCAACATGTGTCCCCTCTTCTTCATGTCTCTTCTACATCAACATGTGTCCCCTCTTCTTCATGTCTCTTCTACATCAACATGTGTCCCCTCTTCTTCATGTCTCTTCTACATCAACATGTGTCCCCTCTTCTTCATGTCTCTTCTTCATCAACATGTGTCCCCTCTTCTCCATGTCTCTTCTTCATCAACATGTGTCCCCTCTTGTTCATGTCTCTTCTACATCAACATGTGTCCCCTCTTCTTCATGTCTCTTCTACATCAACATGTGTCCCCTCTCTGGAAAGAGACTCTGAAAGTTTCAGGAACAAAGATTCTCTCTCTTTTTGATCCATTTCTATAAAAACCTGTCTGAAAATGAGCTGATCAGATTTTGGCCACTTTATGATGTCATAACGATGTGTTGTCTTGTGTAACCATTAGCCAATCAGCAACCAAGGTAGCCCCCCCCCCCTTATCACCTGAATCTCCTCCTAGAGCACCATTGAGCTCTTTGTAACCAAATCTCTCTCAGATGGGGCGTGGGGAGGGGCTCCTTATTTTCATCTGAAGTAACAGACAGAGAATCAGCACTTTGGAAACAGGGCTGAAACAGAGGGGATTATGGGTAATGCTGCAATGATCTGTTTGGTGTTTGGAGCCAATCAGAGACAGGTTCTGTATATATCTGAGACCTGTGATATATTGATGAAAAAGAGTATGCTAGGGGACCTTCAAGACCAATCAGCTGTCAGATTCATACCAGAATACTGATTATGAGATAATTAATGGGTCATTACTTAAAATAACTACACAGCCCAGTATGTCTTAGAAACAAACCGGACTTAACATGACGTTATACAATAAGTTTTACAGAATGCTAAATACATTTCCAAGCTTGTTTGTATATGCAGTAATATTTGGACGTGTGATACTGTAAAGGATTTTGTAAACTCATACTTAATGCATCTCGCTCCTCCCCCACTCACAGTTTGCTTCAATATGCACGGATAACATCTGGCAAACAAGAACATCTACTAGAGGCGACCACACACACACACACACACACACACACACACACACACACACACACACACACACACACACACACACACACACACACACACACACACACACACACACACACACACACACACACACACACACACACACTGTGTATCGGACAATACTGCAATGTACGTTTCAAACACAGCTGAAATCATGGCAGAAACACTAACAATCATGTGACCAATAACAACATAGTATTTATTTATTTGTATGATTTTATGTATTTAATAGGAAGTGTAGTTTTTGTGATGCAAAGTGTATTCTCTCTACCCCTGTCTGAACTCGCATTAATGCCATAATTACTTTGATAATGAAATGTAGCTTTCTCTCTTACTCTGGTGCAGTTATTCATCGTACATTTTCCCTGTTAAAATAACAAAGGAAATCAAACAAACTCTTTAATCCCAGTGACTCATTTAGTTCAGCTTGCCTAAGGTTAGACACCTGCCTCTGTTTATTCTACTTTAATTAGCAATGCAAACCACATATAGCATCATAACAGTATACAAACAGACTGTAGAGGTTACGAAATCATGTCCAACGCTGTGCAATTTACATCATGTTTTCTCGCAGAAGCCTCAACGTGAATTACAAAAGTTGACCTTTTAAATAAATGTTAAGAGGACGTTGCCAATTTGGGATATTGTTCCACAAACGTGCAACATAATGCTATTGTCCACGTGAAAATAAAGTATACTTTTGTTCCTGATATTCCTTAACTTGTCTCTCAGACCGTTTGATATCTTCATTCTGTTAGCCATCTTTGCTAACTGTGTCGCTCTGGGAGTTTCTAAACCGTTTCCTGAAGACGACTCAAACTCCACAAACCACGACCTGGTGAGTTCACACACACACACACACACACACACACACACACACACACACACACACACACACACACACACACACACACACACACACACACACACACACACACACACACACACACACACACACACACACACACACACACACACACACACACACACACTGTAATATAAATGTTAATGGATAAATTAATATGGGCTATGAATGGATGAAGAGCAGGAGAGCATTTGAATGGTTGGAAAGAGTAGTAGAAATCATTTTGGGTTTGAGGTAATGGACTCAGGTGGCTTTAGCATTTTTAGCTTCAGGTTAGTGTGTCGCTCTCAGGTGTGTAATGTTAGATCATGCTCTCTTACATCATATTGTTGAATGTTAGAGGGACAGTTTGGATGTTTTGAAGACAGGAGTACAAGCAAAAAGCTAAGTTAAGTACTGCTATGGTATAACACATATATGAGTTTAAGTTTATGCTATATTTATAAAAAATATTCACCTTTTTACATACAGGAACGTGGCTTGCTTCTTGAGGAATTTGAGCATTTCTTCACTGACAAATTAACTGTACACACATTTGGTTATCGTTTCAGTTTGGATCCTTGTAAAACAACAATTACAACAACCCTGCATTCAAGACACGTTGTGTAATTCGATTAGTGTCCCTAAAAAGAACAGAATATTTGATGAGGTAGCGGTAGCCCCGATGTTCCAACCCAATCTCACGGCATTTCGTGTTATAGTCACAAAATGTATTTAATCTATTGATTCGTGTTCACCAACACGATTTTTGCATTTTTTTCGTCACACAGAACGATTTTAAAAGCAATGTATTTCTATTGGTAGTATGTTTCGTGCACCACGTCTTTTTGTCCGGTCGGGTCTTGGAAGACCAGAAGCTGTGGGGTTCATAAAAACATGTTCTTATTCAATATCTAACCCTAAGCCTATTATTTTAAATTGTATAATCTCTGAGTTTTTTTATTCCTTCTAATTTGTTATTATTTGCTGCAGGCACGAAACATACTACCAATAGAAATACATTGCTTCTAAAATCGTTCTGTCAGAATACTGAAAAAAAGGGTAAAGGGTCATCCATATGATTTATATAAAGGAGTTTCTCTTGCTTCTCGTTCATATATTAGTCTTTATCTCTGTGAACTGGAAGTGTCTTCCTGCAGTCAGCTGATCTGAGCCTCCTCCCCCTCCTCCCCGCTGCTGTAAAGGTCACAGGTCGTGGGTAAATACAGTAGATGATTGACAGGTCTGAGATCAGATCTGATCAGCTGAGGCTCTGAGAAGTTTCTGCTCGGATGCTTTCTCTCTCTCTCTCTCTCTCTCTCTCTCTCTCTCTCTCTCTCTCTCTCTCTCTCTGTGTTTCCTCTGTGTTTCTATGTCCCTCTACCTTCATTTACACTTACACTGTACACACCGTTCATGAAGACATTTCAGATTGAAGTGACGGCGCAGCACTCTGCCTCCTCGCTGTGTGTGTGTGTGTGTGAGACATTGTGGGGGCTGCTTTTTTTTTTTTACTCTCACAATCACATGAAATAAGACAACTACTGCAGTTCAAAAGGGGATGAAATACTTGCTTTTTGTTTCAGTAAAAGCAACAATACGATACAATAATAAGATGTATTCTTATATATAAATGTTATATTGATATAAATAATGTATAGATTTATGAGTAGCACCGCAATAGCTAATGGGGTCTTTTTTCATTATTCAACTAATTCAATAATATTACAGACAAGCTGCAAGAAAAACAATAAATTAGTTGAAGCATATTAAGTCATATATATAATTTGTAATGAACTGTAATTATTGATGCATTAGTGCAGGGGTGATCAAGCACTCAGAGGCTCAGTCAGAGCCAATCATTTTACTATATTACTGCAAAGAGCCACATCATACACACAGGCACACACACTCAAAGACACACCCTACCATAGAATCACACAATTCAATGTTGTTTTTAATGTCCGTTATTCTGTGATCAACAGTGTGACAGGGACAGTTTGACATCTGATACCACCGTTTTTTGTTTTCTGGAGACAGGATTTCCACTTCATTGAGTTATTTTTTAACCAACCCGGTATCACGGCAAGACGTGAACATGTGAGGATTTACCATGCTGGGACACGTGAAGATGTCGCGATTGCGTCCCTTCAAACGTGACAGTTACACGGTATTATTAACCCATGTTAACCAGTTGAGAAATAACCGGAAATGCCAAGCAAATGCTGTACCGACGGTCGGTGGTTATTGTCAATATTAATATAATAATGCAGTATCAACACTAATTCGGCTGACTTTTATATTTGATCCAATTGGTAGATAGGTTATATTTACACCATGGTGCACAGCTGATATAAAGGGACACCTAGTGGTTAAAGCACGTTACTGAATTTTAATATTTTATTATTAGATATTAATAGGATCCCTATGAAGTATATTAATTACTCGTTATTCTCTACTAATAGTTCATTAAAGACTGTATATAATGACTATTTTGCACATCCCTTTCAAGATTTCAAGATTTTCCAAGGTTTATTGACATATCATATAGGCCACAACTATGGTGTAGTTATGCAATGAATAAGGTTCCTCAACAGCGCATTACAAGACATCTATCAATATGTGTACCTCCACCATTAAACTGTCATTCTGCACATTTCTTATACTATCTACATACATCTTATAAGAGTATAATACATATGTATAATATCAGTTAAAATAAGTGCTTCAACATAGTTAACATGGCAGGAAAGCAATATATTAGATGTTAAGTACTTTGTCAGGCTTAATATTTATCTGTAGATACAAATGTCACTGTGTGTGCTGTGTGCTCTGCATGTGTGACCATTGAAGAGGGTTTCATCCCTCCATATTCTTATTCTATACCCCCAAAGCTTTTTTCTTATTCAAAAGAAGACCTTAACCTAAAGTATTATTTAATGTTTAAATTAAGCCTTATTAGTTTGTCTGTTTTGCACATCCTCCTATTAATATCTAATAATACAATAAAATTCAATAACGTGCTTTAACCACTAGGTGTCCCTTTCTATCAGCTGTGCACCTTTATGGTGTAAATATAACCTATCTACCAATTGGATCAAATATAAAAGTCAGCCGAATTAGTGTTGATACTGCAAGGAGACGTATTGTGTAAAAAGAAATGTAAGATGTTGTTTAATGGCTGATATATTTATGATCCACGTCACGTTTTCAGTTCCTCATGTTTGTCTAGAAGTCTTCTCAGCAGGGCTCTATACTGTAAATACAGAACTACGGCAGATATGTAATATTTAATGCAGCCAAACCGTGTATTACAATGCCGTTATGTGATGACCTCCTAAGAGAAAAGCAAGCACACTCGGAATAAAGTATTTTATTTAAAAAAAATGTTTTCAGATGTCACATCGCATAAACACCAAATCCCAGCGTGCATTGCGGCTAAACTATCCAATCATCGAGCTGAGGATCTTGCCTACGTGTGTTTCCGGTTTCGTTTATGACGGATGTATTTTGTTATACACACATTCCTTCACATTTAAATTAAAATTTACATTAAAGTATTTCGTGAGGCCTTCTAACATGTTTTTAAATATAACTACGGTTGTAGTTGAAGAGTTTGTAAATTAACATGCACCGAAGCTGTTGCCTGGCAACGCAATCGCACAACGTCACGTCCCTTAATTCCACATCCACACGCATGGATTAACATCGATTTAATACATTAAAGGTGGGGTAGGTACATTTGAGAAACCGGCTCGAGATACACTTTTTGTTATATTCCATGGAATGCTCTTAACATCCCGATAGCAATGAATATCTGAAGTGCTTTGACAAAAAATCCATACAAAAATGTCATCTCTGGAAGCCGTAGTACTGTAAAAAGCACGACCAATCATCTGAGCCGGCCCGGCTAAAGTAACTGGATGGCCTACCTGCCTGTCAGCCTTCCATCTGTGCACAAACTTATCTCGTGCCCTCATTGGTCATGTGCGCGTTCGTGTGTGTTGGAGGAGGCGCTCTGTGAGGAAGTGGCAGATTTTTTCCGGCTGTGTATTTTCAAATTCTAGCGCACTCGAGCTGGTCTCTCCAAAATTACCTACCCCACCTTTAATGTAGCCTTTGTTTCTGCTAAAAAAGGTTTCGACCAGCTGGGGCAACAAGAAAATCGGCGTAATCGAGTGTGACTATTACAAAATAAATCATTATTATATTAATATTGACAATAACAACCGACCGTCGGGGTAGCATTTTCTTGGCATTTCCGGGTATTTCTCCACTGGTTAACATGAGTTAACAATACCGTGTAACTGTCACGTTTGAAGGGACGCAATTGTGACATCTTCACGTCTCCCAGCATGGTACATGGTCACATGTTCTAAGCTAAACTCCAAAATGGCGGCGCATGTATATGCTGCGGCTTTTGGACTCGCCAGTTTCGGCAAATTAGTTATTATTTGCACACTTATCTTTAGTCTGTTCGTCCAGAACATCAGTACTAACCCACTGTACAGCAGACAAGACCTTCTGGACATTGGGTTACATGTCGGATCACTGGATATCTCCATTAACGCTCCCGACGACATCATCAGGCTAGCAACGGGTTCAACGGGTTTGTTTACATTGCCTCCCCGGACAAGGAGGCTCCGTAGACGGCGGAGAGATCGCAGGCAAAAGCGAGGCTGTAGAGGAGGCGCTCGTGAGAAGCTAACCCAGGCTCCGCACCGCGCCCCTCTCCCCAGCCTTCTCCTTGCTAATGTGCGGTCTCTGGTGCACAAAATGGACTATCTACGACTGTGGATTATAAACAACAAACGGATTATGGACACAAACATTCTGATCTTCACAGAGCCATGGCTGCATGAGGGCGTTCTTGATAGCGCGATGGCGTTACAAGGGCTTCACTGCACCCGTTCGGACAGAACAGCTGATTGTGCGCGGAGGAGGACTGTGCATTTATGTCAACAACTCCTGGTGTACATACAACAGCACCATTACCAGGCACTGTTCTGCCGACCTATAATTTCTCATGGTTAAATCCAGACCCTTCTACTGTATCTGCCCAGAGAATTCACTTCCATCATTACAATTGCAGCCTATATACCACCCGATGCTAATGCTAAGCTAGCTATGAAGGAACTGCATGTAGCCATTAGCACGCAACATACATTACACCCGGAGTCTGTCTTCATCATTGCTGGAGATTTCAATCACTCCAACCTAAAGACTGTTCTCCCCAAATTCCACCAACATGTCTCATGTCCCACAAGAGGAGATAAGACCCTGGATCAATGTATATACCAATATCAAAGATGCATATAAGGCCCTCCCTCTCCCCCATCTGGGTCAGTCAGACCACATCTCACTGTTCCTTCTACCCAAATACCACCCCCTTATCAGACGAGTCAAGCCTTCGGTCAAGACAGTGAAAGTCTGGCCTGAGGGAGCAGAGTCCAATTTACAGCATCAGCTTCACATCACCAACTGGAACAACTTCGCTGTAACTACCACTATGGATTCCCAAGTAGACATTGACGCATACACCTCTTCTGTTTTGGATTGCATCAACACCTACATCAGTGATGCCACCACCACCAAACAGATCAAAAGATTCCCTAATCAGAAGCCATGGATGGATGGGCAGGTCCGCCAACTGCTGAAGGCACGTGACACCGCCTTCAGGTCAGGAGACGCGCAGGACTACCGTCTAGCCAGGGCTGAGCTGAAACGGGGCATCAAAAGGGCGAAGCACTGCCACAAGCTAAAGATTGAGGAGCACTTTAACACCTCTGACCCCCGACGCATGTGGCAGGGGTTACAGACCATCACAGACTTCAAACCCACCCGGGCCTCCCCCCTGTCCACTGACCCCTCTCTTCCAGATGAGCTTAATTATTGTTATGCTCGTTTTGACAGGGTCAATCATGAGGTAGCCACTAGGGCCACTCTCCCTGCAGACCATCTGCCCCTCACACTCTCCACCACAGATGTGCATGCTGAACTAAGCAGGACAAACACACGTAAGGCCGCTGGCCCCGATGGTATCCCCGGACGTGTACTCAGCTCTTGTGCTGAGCAGCTGACCAGGGTCCTGACTGACATCTTTAACCTGTCCTTGGCCCTAGAAAAAGTCCCCACGTGCTTCAAATACACCTCCATTGTGCCTGTTCCCAAGCACGCCTCTCCAACAAGCCTTAACGACTACCGACCCGTGGCACTTACATCGACCATCATGAAGTGTTTCGAGAGGCTGGTACTGGCTCGGCTTAAATCATGCCTCCCACCCACACTTGACCCCTCCCAGTTTGCCTATCGTCAGAATAGGAGTACGGATGACGCCATCTCCACAGGACTACACCCTGCCCTCTACCATCTGGATCAGAGCAACACATTCCTGTTCATTGACTTTAGCTCGGCATTTAACACCATAATTCCTTCAAAACTGATTACCAAGCTCAGTGACCTTGGCATCGACCCCTCCCTCTGCAACTGGATACTGGACTTTCTCACAAACAGACCCCAGCATGTTAGAATAGACAAGCTCACATCCTCTAATCTCATCCTTAGCACTGGTCTCCCACAGGGCTGTGTGTTAAGTCCCCTCCTATATTCCCTCTTCACACATGACTGCAAACCTGTACACAGGGTTGGGAGGGTTACTTTGTAAATGTAATCAGTTACTGATTACTGAATACATGGCTCTGAAAGTAATCCGAATACAGTTACAGTTACGTGTCTTAAAAAAGTAATCAGATTACTTTTAGATTACTTTTGAATTACTTTATTTTTCCATCACAGATGGGTATGTTTTGGTGAACAGGAGACACAAAAAGGAAACTGAACGTGTTTTTACTGTTTTAATGGCGTATCAAGAGCACAACTGAAACATAACCTCTGAAACGATGTAACAACATAATACACTTTTTGGGGATGCAGCTTGGGATGTGAGGAGTGAGGGACACGGCTTAGAACGGGCGTGTCGCATTCTGTCCTGCCAGTGTTGGCAGGACATGAATTAAAATGTCGAACTCGGACTTCATTTTAAAGACATGTCGGCCAGGGGTGTAGAGCTATATTTGTTTAAGCACCGGATTGGCAAAACAGGAGACTCTGTGTACCAGTCTGCCTTGATCTATGTATTAATGTCCGTGACACTCAGTATCTGCTGCCCACAGCTGTTTTATAGAAGGAAAACCTCCTTCACTTCATGAAATCTCTGCAGCACCAGGAGGCAGCGGGAGGGTTAACTCAGAAGACGAGCGTACAGTGCCTTTCACGCACCGCCTTCGCTGTGTTTACCTTCAGAATCATAAGGCTAAAGAGCGGTGTGGCTGATGTGTTTTAACCACACACACACGACTTAAACGCAGACTTTTGTTCCTCCATGTTTCGTTGTTATTGTTTCACTGAGCGGCCCCGCCCCGTTTTTTCGCTCCCTTTTTTGGTCCATCTGCAGCGGTAAAAGTGTTTGTGCGCTGTGATGATTCGGCTGTACCTTTAGTAATGAATATTAAATGTTGTGAGGAAATATTACCATCAATAATTCCAATAAGTAATCCAAAATGTATTCACTTCAGGTTTACGAAAGTAACTGTAATCAGATTACTCGTTTTTCAAATGTAACGCGAGCTGAATACAGTTACTTGATTTTGTATTCTGATTACGTAACACCGTTACATGTATTCCGTTACAACCCAACCCTGCCTGTACATGGCTCAAACACCATCGTTAAGTTTGCAGACGACACTACAGTGGTCGGGCTTGTCAGCAACTATGAGGAGACGGCATACAGGGAAGAGGTTGAGCATCTGGCAGAGTGGTGCGCTAACAACAACCTGGCTCTCAACACCAAGAAGACGAAAGAGGTCATTGTGGACTTCAGAAGGAACAAAGACGGCACACACTCCCCAGTCCATCTTAGTGGAGAAGAGGTTGAGCGGGTCACCAGCTTCAAGTTCCTGGGAGTCCACATCTCGGAGGACCTCTCCTGGACCACCAACACCTCAGGCCTAGTCAAGAAGGCTCACAAGCGCATCTTCTTCCTGAGGAGACTGGCAAAACTCCGCCTATCCTCCCAGGTGCTAACGAACTTCTACCGTTGCACCATCGAGAGCATCCTCTCCACCTGCATATCAGTATGGTATGGTAACTGCACGGTCAAGGAAGGACAAGAAATCACTGCAGAGGGTGGTGAAGATCGCACAACGCATCATCAAGATGCCACTCCCCTCCATAGCCTCAGTCTATGAAAAGCGGTGCCTGCGAAGGGCACGAAACATCATCAGAGACTCTTCCCACCCCAACCATACACTGTTTATCCCCCTACGTGGCACCCGCTCTGGGACACGCTACCGCAGCCTCCCGGGTAGAACCAACAGGACTACGCACAGCTTCTTCCCTTCAGCAGTCAGACTGCTGACAATGAACCCCACGCTGTCCCATACTGCCTAGCTGTTGTCGTGTGCTGTGCTGAAGCGCAATTCTGTATTCACTGTATTTATTATTATCTGTGTATTTATTCCTATTTATACATTTCCCATCTATTTACCTTTATTTTTGTATCATTTATTTTGTACATACTTCTGATAATTGTGTATATAACTGACTGTTTTGCACTCTGGTTAGACCCTCCTTAATTTCGTTACACTGTGCTTGCATTTTTGTAATGACAATAAAGTAATCTAATCTAATGTTCACGTCTTGCCGTGATACCGGGTTGTTTTTAACACACTTCCCTTCGTTGTATGGCTTTTTTTCCTTGTGCGATGTTCCAGGCAACTTGATATGCTGCAAGCGTTATGGTCTCCTTGTGCTTTTGCTTGGGACAACTGTGTCTGCTTTCCTGTCTGACTTTTCAAGGTGTTTAACTTATGCCTGCGAAGTTCATTACCTTTTGGGAAATCCAAGTCGATGTTAGCATGGAGTGAGGTGAAATGGCGCTAAAGATACAAAGCCTTGAAATGGGCAGATGATGTCAGGCATATAAAGCAAAATGGCTTGCTCTTGCATTCGATAAATAAATATGAATTCTCCAACTCTACTAAAAACGTCCTATGTAGTGCAGAGGATGTTAGATAAGAAACGGCTCGAATGCAGAAAAGGGCAGATTGGCAATTTTTGTTAATAATTGAATGTGTGTGTGCATCGTGCAGTGTGAGGACCTGTTTGAGTTTAAGACCGTTGTGAGGACATCTTTACTAAGAGAAGTCCTCCCTTCATCAATCTGCTGCACAGAGTTAAGATGTTGATCCTGAGGTGAAGGGTTGTTTTTAGATATTGTCGTGTGACGGTTAGATGGTTGGGGGCAGGGAATGCATTATGTCGATGAGAGTCCCCACAAGCATAGTAAAACAGACACACGTGTACATGTGTGTATGTGTGTGGAGCAGGGATGATGACAGATTGGTAATCCTCTGAAATGCTCACAAATTCTCCACATCCATGTTTACCAGGTCACACACACACACACACACACACACACACACACACACACACACACACACACACACACACACACACACACACACACACACTGTTGTATTATGTAAAACCGTATAAATGTCCTCTAGAATTCAAACCTCCTTTTAGAGAGCATTTTGTTTACAAAAAAATATATAGACTATATAACAAAATATATACTACTACTACTTGTATTTTATTTGAGTATTTCAATTTTCTGCTACTTTATGCTTTTACTCCACTTGATTTTAGAGGTAAATATTGTACTTTTTACTCCAATGCACAGTTTTTCATCCTCTTCCTGTCCAGTTGAAACCAGTTAATACTTCTTCTTAAACGTTATTATTCTGATCAGTAGTTGTAAGTACATCTTCCTCCAACATACTGTTTGTTATCCAGTGGTTCAATGTTCTCTCTCTACACAGACATTGTGATGTTCCTCAGTGTTAATAGAACATATTCTCTGTATTTCAGGAACAAGTGGAGTACATCTTCCTCGTCATCTTCACCATAGAGACCTTCCTGAAGATCTTGGCTTACGGTCTGGTGATGCACCCAAGCTCCTACATCCGCAACGGCTGGAATTTACTGGATTTCGTCATCGTTATCGTGGGGTGAGAAAACACACATTGGTTCCCTCTTGAGATGGTGTCTCTGTTTTAAGACGTTGGTTTCTTTTGGTGCTGGATCTCTCTTGAGAGGTTGATTCTGTAGAAACATGCAGGTTTCCTATTGTGGAACATTTAGACTCCGTTCACACGGAAAACGAACAAAATTCGATATAAAAAAAGTCTTCCATCCACACGGAATCGGCTCAATAAACGTGTCCGTCCACACGAGACCGCTCGACCCGCTGGAGACGCTGTAGTACATATGTCAGGCCTGTAAGTGGCGCTGTACTTCCGCCACAAAATACACCAAAAGCAGCGAATAAGACCTCCCGAGCATGGTTGCCTGGTTGCCCTTCTGTTTATTCTCCGCGGTGGATTTAGCAACATGTAGTTCATGTAGTTCTCCATGTCCACTTGTTGCTGATGGTTGTGGTAGAGGAGCTGTAGATTTGGGTGAGCAGCGGGGCTATGGCGTATAGGGCGTACACACAGAGCCGTTTGGCCCCCCAGAGCGTTCCGTCCGCAGATCTACCCACCTTGGGACCCGTTATCGTTTGAGGGCTCAGTTTCCGCGGTTCCGTTACGGCCTGGTGTGAACGAACCGTCCATACGATAGAGAACTGTAGCGGATACAACCCGTTCCATCTCCGTGTAAACGTGGCCTTACTCTGAAAAACAGACTGTTTCTCGCTCCAGAAACTGCTTTTATCTTTACCCTGGGTTAACATTTGATGCTGAAGCACTGTGATTTTTGGGAAAAAACGATGGGCTAATCACATAGGACAGAACTTGTGATTTTCAACGTTTTAAATGAGGTCTGGTCTATTTTCTCAGCAGCCGAATGGCAAGAAAACATACGGATAATCTACTATTACCCTACAAACTTATTTTTAAACACTTTATATTGGGTATTCTAATAATATTTTATAGATATAACCCATTCCACTGTGATATGTGTTTATGTTAACTGTTTATTTGTATTTTTTCCTACTCCTCTAAAAAGCCATCGACTTTATTTACTAGAAACATCTTGCCCCTTTCACACCAACGCGGTTCCCGTTCTAGCTCCGTGCTAGAGCTTTTCTGGTTCGGAACCGTTTTTTATTTTCAGTCCCCGCTTTGTTCACACCGCCCAGAGCCCGAGTGGTGCTGCGTCTTTGCGTCATCGTTTGCGTCATGACGTAACCGTTTACGTGCCTGCTTCATAAAGCCAAACTGTGCGGAAACCCCTCACATCGACAACAACAACAACGGCCGATTGTATTGAAGCGCTACTCATTTTGGTTTTGTTCTGTTTGCTTTGCGTACAAACTGCATAAAACGTGGGCTTTTTGTTGTTGTTCATGAGGTTGATCCCGCCCCTTCCCCCGCCTCCGACGTAAGCATGAGGTATGCGGTTCTTGCTTCTAGACCGACAATTTTTTGAGCTTAGAGGCGGCTCCGCTGCGGTGTGAACAGGAAAAAACGGTGCTTTTCAGGCTCCAGCTCCGAACCGGCCCTAAACCGCGTTGGTGTGAAAGGGGCAATAGTGTCACTAATGTTTGTGGCTTTGCTTTATTAATTGCATAGTCTACCTGTTTCATTTGTCAGACAACAGAGAGTGAGTGTGACAAGAAGATTTGTAGAATAAAATAATGTATATTTCACTTAATTAGAGCCTTTTAAAATTAGCTCTGATATGAGCATAATGCCACATACTTCTCTTAGAGGGTGCATCAGGTCAACTTGATTAGATTATCTTTATAAGGCCTGTTTCAACATGTTTAATTGTAATATCTCAAGCAATATGGTTGTTTTTGCGACAAAAGGGTTAATACATGTTTATTTTGTTATCATTGAAAGCATTCAAAATAAGCAGGAAGAACAGAAAGCAGGACACTTGTTACCAAAATAGCATCAAATATGAAACAGTCATTAGAAATAAAGTGTATATATTTTGTCATGCTGCATTTAACAGCTCAGAGTGTTGATGTCACGCTGGCTCGAGGTGGTTTTTCCAGCAGAGAAGAAATATCGCTTGCTGAGCGGATGAAATGCTCTTCTCATGTGAGCAGACTCACGCAACACTTTGAGTTTGAACCCAGCGTCAGACTCTGGTTCTTCTTTAGATCCCAGTTTTTTGGTTCTTATCCTCGGCTGCCCTCCTTTGTTGAGACTCTTTGTTGTGGAAGCCGTGTTCGAAGAGTTGCCGCAGTAAATCGGATCTGACTGCTGTAAACTCAACAGCTTCCTGTCCGGTGGGCAGCGCAGGAACAAACCCTGCAGCGAGGCCTTCATTTATCTCCTTTTAGGGGTTTTGGGTTGAGCGCATGTGACAGCTGACTGTGATCACTGTACTCTATAACTACCGCTCTAAATATACACATTTAACCTCCAATAATAAACTTCGGATGTCACGACACAAACACAGTCATGCAGTGAAACAGATTTTTATCCCACGCTCTGTTTCTGTGGATGTCTGCCTTTCTTTCTCTTGTGTTTAACTTTTCATGAATCTCTGATACACTACAGACACATTCACACCAAAGAGAAATAAATGCATAAATGAGAGTATATAATTTCAGCATAAACCTTCCAATTTGTAAATGCAAAATGTCAGAACGTAGAGTATGCAATGTCAAGTAAGGCAAATTATCTTAAAAACTTCATGCAACAACATTCTTGCTGCTTAGTACAAAGACTGAGAGATCATATTTGGTCTCTACTTAATCAACAATATTACTGGGAAGATTTACGATAAAACAATTAGTTTTTTTCTATTTAATTATTGAGCATAAGCAGCTTGAATTGCATATAAAAAAATATATATTTCATTGCATTAATAAGAACACTGACAACTACCCTCGTTGATTGTATAGTTTCTTTAGGGGTATTCTTACTTGTGCGCTGTAAGGGTCTAAGGACAGAGATAAGATATCATTAACAGATAACAGATTAATATCAACATTGATTGTCACATTTATCTGGAGGATCATAATTAAAGGTGTGTGTTTTATGCCTCCCCCATTTTCCTGTCTTTCGTCTCAGATATGAACATGATATTTAAATCTCATGGTTATTTTTTACCGTGTAACTGTCACGTTTGAAGGGATGAAATCGTGACATCTTCACGTCTCCCAGCATGGTAAATCGTCACATGTTCACGTCTTGCCGTGATACCGGGTTGTAAATATCTGCAGGAAATATTGACAATAACTTGACAACATTTGAAAATGAAGACAGCAGGGTACCCTAGAAATGACTTGAGTTTATAACTACAACAAACTAAAATAACTGAACTAGCATCAAATATAAAAAACAGAGACATTAGAGACAAAGTATTTTTGTATAATTGCTCATACTACAACTGGTCAGTGTTGGAGTCACCTGCCGAGGTCTCAGTGAGTCCTGCAGGTCCTCGGTCTTCGTCCTCCATGTTGGTTAATGTCCTCGCTGCGGGACGGTGACTCTGGACCGGGGGGGTGATGATTAAGCCTGTTGTCATGGTTACACTGCCCCGAGGACGGCCCGGTCCCCGTTACTATGGGAGACGATAATCCTGAGAGGCTGCTGTAGGTGGGACAGAGAGGGGCTTCTTTCAGGAGTTCAGTGTTTCCTAGAGAGGGCAATAGTACACACATCCTTTACTCAAGTAGAAGTACAGATACTCGTGTTTAAAAATACTCTGATAAAAGTAGAAGTACTGACTTAACTTCTTCACTCAAGTAAAAGTAAAGAAGTATGTGCTTTGAAATGTACTTCAGTAAAAAGTACCCATAGCTACCAGCTGTTTTAAAGAGTACCTGACCTCCCTTTATATTAATAGAACAATAATGTCATTGTGAGCTAATGAATGTTTCCATGCTGAACAACGGCAACATGACAACGTTTCCATTGGTCCCTCTTCTTTAGAGAAGACCAGGAAATGATGGATACACGGATCGTGTTCAAATCAATAGGCACGCAATGACTCTAAATAATAATGATCACGCATCAAACACACATTCAGACTAAAGGAACCAGCTGTTTGGAAAATGAGAGAAGTAGAAAGTACAGGTATTTGGGTTCAAAGTGTAAGAAGTAGAAAGTACAGGTATTTGGGTTCAACATGTAAGAAGTAGAAAGTACAGGTATTTGGGTTCAACATGTAAGAAGTAGAAAGTTCAGGTATTTGAGTTCAACATGTAAGAAGTAGAAAGTACTGGTATTTGTGTTCAACATGTAAGAAGTAGAAAGTACAGGTATTTGTGTTCAAAGTGTAAGAAGTAGAAAGTACAGGTATTTGAGTTCAACATGTAAGAAGTAGAAAGTACAGGTATTTGTGTTCAACATGTAAGAAGTCGAAAGTACAGGTATTTGAGTTCAACATGTAAGAAGTAGAAAGTACAGGTATTTAGGTTCAACATGTAAGAAGTAGAAAGTACAGGTATTTGGGTTCAACATGTAAGAAGTAGAAAGTACAGGTATTTGAGTTCAACATGTAAGAAGTAGAAAGTACAGGTATTTGGGTTCAACATGTAAGAAGTAGAAAGTACAGGTATTTGGGTTCAACATGTAAGAAGTAGAAAGTACAGGTATTTGTGTTCAACATGTAAGAAGTAGAAAGTACAGGTATTTGTGTTCAACATGTAAGAAGTCAAAGTAAAACTTGCAAATTATTTCCTGCTCTGCCCATGCTTCCCAACTTTATGAAGTTCCTCTTTAAATCTCGGGCTAGCAGAATCAGTGACATCTTTTAAATCTCTTTTTAAAACTCGCCTTTTTATTAAAGTTGTTTTAACTAATGATGACACCACTCTGTTTTACTCAACATCCATGTATTATTTGTTTTACTTTCTTTATTGTTTTACTGCTGCTATTGTTGAAATGCTGTAAATTGTATTGGGCGGTTTGGGAAATTTTGACCGCATGCTGACTGGCCTGCTCTTAATCCATGTAAAGCACTTTGTGACATTGTTTTGAAAAGTGCTTTATAAATACATGTGCTATTATAGTTCAATCAATCAATCAATGTTGACAATGTTGACAAAATGACACCCTCTGTCCTTAGACCCTCACATCGTACAAGGAAAAACTTCCAAAAAAGGAGAAAACCCCACAGTTTAAAGGGAAAAATGAGAGAAACCTCAGGGAGAGCAACAGAGGAGGGATCCCTCTCCCAGGACGGACAGACGTGCAATAGATGCCGTGTGTAAATTGAAAAGATAATACATTTGCAACATAGGTAGTCCAAATGTTTGGAAATGCATGTGTGTATAATAGGAAGATGAATCCACGAGGATATCCATCTAGGACCTATGATCCAGGACCACAGCCACGACTCAAGATCCAGGGCTCGCGATCCAGGACAGAGGAGCGCAGGATCATCCATGACTCCGGATCCCGGCGTATATAGACACCAAAAAGAAAGAAATTCGGGGAAGCTGGGTTAATCGGAACATGAGAGTACACAGGTATAGACAGAGAGAAGGAAGAAGTAAGATGTCCCCCGACAAACTAAGCCTATATCAGCAAAACTAGGGGCTGTATCTAATCAGCCCTAACTATAAGCTTTATCAAAAAGGAAGGTCTTAAGCGCACTCTTAAAAACGGATAGGGTGTCTGCCGCCCGAACACAAACTGGAAGCTGATTCCACAAATGTGGAGCTTGATAAGAAAAGGCTCTGGCTCCCATTGTACTTTTAGAGACTCTAGGAACAACCAACAACCCTGCATTCTTGTTATTATTAATAACAATTACTTCGACTTTTATGCAGATGATACCCTGTTCTACATCACTCTCAAAGATGGAAATGATTGAGCGGTTCTTATTTTTTTCCTCTTAATTTCTGATGAGATGAATCTTTAACGCTTCTATTTGTTGTTGCCCATGCAGATTGTTCAGTGTGGTATAAATACATTTATTATTATAGTTATTATGAATGGATGATACCCTGTTCTACATTACTCTCAAAGATTGTAATGATTGAGTGTTTCTACTTCTTCCCGTTAATTTCTGATGAGATGAATCTTTAACTTTCTCTTCTTCTGTTTTGTTGTTGTTGTCAATGCAGATTGTTCAGTGTGGTTTTAGAGACGATGACTCATAAGTCTGGTGAGGTTGCGACCACTCATCACGTGCCGGGGAAACCTGGAGGTCTGGACGTCAAAGCTCTGAGAGCCTTCAGAGTCCTGAGGCCCCTGAGGCTGGTGTCTGGAGTCCCCAGTAAGTGCACTGGACAGGAATGCAGGCATATGCATGGGGCGGTTCTAGGGGGGGCCAACAGGGGTCAGTGCCCTCCTAACCCCTAGATTCCACCGGGTCCGTCTGCGCTGCGTCACGGCTGCACCGCGGTTTTGGTCCGACCTTCTCCAGAGTCTTGCGTGCCGGCTCGCAGTGCTTTGTGCAGACAAAGTTAATAATAATTGTAATAATCCAGTTATAAACTACATGAATCAAAGACGTGTTGCTGTATTTTAGTGGTAAAAAAATGCATTCAACATCATAATTATTCTATATATAATTTACACAACCTGTAAACCGGAGGAGAACGCTGGCATTTCTCCTCCTCCTTGAAAGACGACGGAGGGATAGGGTCTGCACAATACGTTTATTTTGGGGATTGACTGGATGCTCTGACCGGTCCACTTCCTGCCTGGCGCTATATAACGTCTCGCGTCACGTCGAAAATAGACTTGCATCCTATTTTTAGCGGAGCCCAGCGCCAAGATGCTTCTGGGACGCTTCTGGGACGCTTCTGGGACGCTTCGAGCCGTAACGCGGCGCATCTGGTGGAATAGCACCCATTAACTAGAGTGGCCACGATCGCTGTGAACGCCGCGGTACAGCCGTAACGCGGCGCAGACGGACCCGGTGGAATCTAGGGGTAACACTGACCAGGGACCCCCCTGTGGCCCCCCAACAAAACAAAGTTACAATATTACGATGTATTGGAACTAAATCAAATCAGAGACCCGGATGTACTGTGGAGATTAAACTGTTCATTACCTTAGCAAATACTGTTTATGTTTTTTTATTAAAATTGTCACTTAAAGTTATAAAACAAATACTCCAAAGGAAAAATACTACTGAAACAAAGCACTGTAACCTCAATTTACAAAAACAAATACCAATTACTGTATTTTATGTTTATTTCACACAATTACTTTACAGTATCTTTATCTCTTTAACCAGCTTTTATTGTGCCCCTCTCATAAAATGACCCAGTAAAATTGGTCTAGAACCGCCACTGGTCATATGCACAAAGCTACAGTGTAGAATTGGCAATGAAATTCTTCAGCCCTGAGCTTCTCCAACAATGCAAAATAAAATACAAAAATACAAAAGAAAGACATATTTGAATGGTCAGCATGCACAAAAGGAAGCATCACAGCAATAAGTACCATAAATGAATTTCTGTAATATTCCAAAATCTTCAAAAATACGTCTTCCTTTTGTCTTCAATACTAATTGCTGTGATGCTTCCTTTTGTGCATGCTGGCCATTAAAATGATTATGTATATATATATATATGTTGCATTAAACACCTGTTTCAGAGTTCAATGGAGATCAGAGTCCATAACAAGTAGTGCAAAAAGACATGTCAATAGAATATGGGATATGTACAAGAACAGAATATGAAATTAAATAATCTAAACTAAGGCAAAATTAAATGTGATAACTATTTATATAAATTAGTATATTGCAAGATCAGGAATGTTTATCGGGGCATGCTCAGGTGTTAAGAGAGTCTCAATGTGTGTGTGTTTTGTGTCCTTTTCCACATGTAAAGCTTTGTGTGTGTGTCAGGTTTACAGATCGTGTTGAACTCCATCATGAAGGCCATGGTTCCCCTGCTCCACATCGCTCTGCTGGTACTCTTCGTCATCATCATCTACGCCATCATCGGTCTGGAGCTCTTCATCGGACGCATGCACAAGACCTGCTACTACAAAGAATCAAGTACATGTTACACTACAACGGCTAACATTACATTTAATTTGGATTTGATCAAAGTAAGTGCACTCAACCATGAGGATGCACATTAAGAATCCTACCAGAAGATAAAGAAAGAAAGGATGAACTTGAAAATAAACTCAAAATGAAAGATTGCGCAGGTCTTTTTCAGAACAACTATATTATTTTATTATAATTATTGATGCATTACTTTGTTCATCACTTTAATGTCGCAACTGGTAAAGGTGGAGCTCATTTTATTGCCTTTATACTACTGGGCAGATGTGTATTTGTATATTATTGATCATATTTTGATTAACTCAAGCAGTAAAAAGTCCAATATTTCCCTCTGAAATTAGTAATTCCTTACATTTATTATAGCACTTTTCCAGATGCTCAAAGCACATATGTACAATGGTCACCACTGTGGGCAATACCCACAGGAGCAAGTTCAGGTGAAGTGTCTTGCCCATGGACACAACGACTTTACAGACGCAGCAGCAGCGGCGGGTTTCACCCCTTGATCTGATGATCATTGCACAGCGCACTGCGCCACACCGTCCATCTTCACGCCTCGAAGTCATTGAGGCGCTTTTACAGGTACACATTAGTATTATACATGTACTGTGGACAATACCCACAAGAGCAAATCCGGGTGAAGTGTCTTGCCCAAGGACACAACGGCCTGACGCAGTGGCGGCAGGAGCGGGTTTCGAACTGGAGTTCCCCAGCACCCCCCTTGATCTGATGATCAGATGCACAGACCACTGCGCCACCCGTCCCGTAGTAGTAGAAGTGCTGTACTTAAGTTGCATTTTAGGGACTAGTATCCACTTAATGTACTTAATTTAAGCGTGTTTGAGTTCATGAAAAGCGCAATACAAATATAATTTATTATTATTATTATTAGAATAGAATATATCTTTATTGTCATCATACAAAGTACAACGACATTTCTTTGGCAACGTTCACTGCAGTAAAAAATCGACACAAATAAATACACAACATTAATTATGATCCAAACCTGTTTTTCAGACACGTATGTGGAGGACGACCCGGTGCCGTGTGCGTTCCTGGGTCACGGCCGTCAGTGCAACAACAACGCCTCAGAGTGTCGGGGGAGGTGGGACGGACCCAACGGAGGAATCACAAACTTCGACAATTTCTTCTTCGCCATGTTGACGGTGTTCCAGTGCATCACCATGGAGGGCTGGACCGACGTTCTCTACTGGGTAAAATACGCTGTGATGCATTCGTTTCAAGGTCTCCTATTACGCAAAATCCTCTTCTTCATGTCTCTTCTACATCAACATGTGTCCCCTCTTCTTCATGTCTCTTCTACATCAACATGTGTCCCCTCTTCTTCATGTCTCTTCTACATCAACATGTGTCCCCTCTTCTTCATGTCTCTTCTACATCAACATGTGTCCCCTCTTCTTCATGTCTCTTCTACATCAACATGTGTCCCCCTCTTCTTCATGTCTCTTCTGCATCAACATGTGTCCCCTCTTCTTCATGTCTCTTCTACATCAAACATGTGTCCCCTTCTTCTTCATGTCTCTTCTACATCAACATGTGTCCCCTCTTCTTCATGTCTCTTCTACATCAACATGTGTCCCCTCTTCTTCATGTCTCTTCTACATCAACATGTGTCCCCTCTTCTTCATGTCTCTTCTACATCAACATGTGTCCCCTCTTCTTCATGTCTCTTCTACATCAACATGTGTCCCCTCTTCTTCATGTTCTCTTCTACATCAAACATGTGTCCCCCTCTTCTTCATGTCTCTTCTACATCAACATGTGTCCCCTCTTCTTCATGTCTCTTCTACATCAACATGTGTCCCCTCTTCTTCATGTCTCTTCTACATCAACATGTGTCCCCTCTTCTTCATGTCTCTTCTGCATCAACATGTGTCCCCTCTTCTTCATGTCTCTTCTACATCAACATGTGTCCCCTCTTCTTCATGTCTCTTCTACATCAACATGTGTCCCCTCTTCCTCATGTCTCTTCTACATCAACATGTGTCCCCTCTTCTTCATGTCTCTTCTACATCAACATGTGTCCCCTCTTCTTCATGTCTCTTCTACATCAACATGTGTCCCCTCTTCTTCATGTCTCTTCTATATCAACATGTGTCCACTCTTCTTCATGTCTCTTCTACATCAACATGTGTCCCCTCTTCTTCATGTCTCTTCTACATCAACATGTGTCCCCTCTTCTTCATGTCTCTTCTACATCAACATGTGTCCCCTCTGTGGAAAGAGACTCTGAAAGTTTCAGGAACAAAGATTCTCTCTCTTTTTAATCAATTTATATAAAAACCTGTCTGAAATTGAGCTGATCAGATTTTGGCCACTTTATGATGTCATAACGATGTTTTGTCTTGTGTAGCCATTAGCCAATCAGCAACCAAGGTACCCCCCCCCCCCCCCCCCTTTATCACCTGAATCTCCTCCTAGAGCACCATTAAGTTCTTTGTAACCAAATCTCTCTCAGAGGGGCGTGGGGAGGGGCTCCTTATTTTCATCTAAAGTAACAGACAGAGAATCAGCACTTTGGAAACAGGGCTGAAACAGAGGGGATTATGGGTAATGCTGCAATGATCTGTTTGGTGTTTGGAGCCAAACACTTCAGAGACATGTTCTGTATATATCTGAGACCTATAATATATTGATGAAAACAGTATAATAGGGGACCTTTAACAACTTCTCATTGTCCCTTTTCCCTTTATGTACATGACGAGAGATGTTGTCTTTTCTTTGTGCAGATGAATGATGCCATTGGGTTCGAGCTGCCGTGGGTTTACTTTGTCAGTCTGGTGGTATTCGGGTCATTCTTCGTTCTCAACCTGGTTCTGGGAGTCCTCAGCGGGTTCGTCTTCACTCACAACATAAGAAAAACGTGTCTTTAAACATTCTGAAAATGTTACAACGTGTGTTTTTATGATTGAATGGCAAATACCAACTCCTTCCTTCTGAGGCCTGTACTACCAAGCCGGATTTTTGCTTAGCCGGCTAACTTCAGGGAAAACTCGGGGTTTCCGGTCCTACGACGCTGGTTCTCTTTTTAGCGGGCTGGATCTCCATGGTAACTTATGCTGAGCGGCTAGCCTGCCCCGGAGCAGGTTAGGTTGCAGGCTAAGAGCTCAACTCAGTGAAAGCACCGCCTGCTGACCAATCAGAGCTCAGTGTGCGGAGTTTAAAGCGATCAAGTCATATTACAGGAGAAAGGAAATACAGAAAAGCTGCCGTTGCAGGAAAGACGGCCGGCAAAAATCACCGACTGTGTGAACGTGAACATTAATAGAATATCACCTCCCATCTTCAGAGCAATCTGACTATTATAACATTAGCGTTAAGAAAGCTTACTTAAATATCTGCCACAACATAAGTAACCGGATCAGAGTAACATTAAGTAGGCCTACAGTCCGCGGCATATCACTTCATAATGTATCATATATCTCCTTATCTGAGTCAGCTGAGCCGTATCTGGCCGTGCAACACTCACAGTGTCACATACTGTATGCAGAAGTATTATTTGAAGCAACACATTAAGTTGACGAAACACTCGAGTCAAATGTAATGAAAGTCAGATCGTGTTTTAGACGGGGCAGTGATATCATAAACCTGTTAATGTACGCATTCAAACACTTTTCTGTTCCCAGCTGTATTCACCTTGCAGGTGCAGCTATGTGGCTTTGATCCTGGATAAAGTGTTTAAGTCATGGATGTTTAAAGTTTAACTTCTTCATATTTGTCTAATATTATAGTGACTTTTCATTAGGAAGTATGACGCTGCGCTGTCACTTTCATGTGAACGCGCACCTAACTAGATAGGACACGGCTGGCTTGATCGATCCACTTGATAACCCGCGTCATAGGACCGCTTAGCGAGAGCGCGTATGTTTTGGATTAGGCCAACCGGCTAACTCAAACATATCCAGGTTAGGTTGAACCAGCTTCGTAGTACAGGCCTCTGGAGTGGATCAGCTATCAACATGATTTGCGTGTAGCATTGGAAAATCCTGACACATTACCATTAGACTTGTTATGTGACAAACCAAGACATCTATGGCTAAGTCAGAATCAGAATAACTATGAAGTAAGGTGTAATACATAGGGCTTTAAAGACGTGTAGATGTGGTGTGCTCGTACCCAGACAGTCTGGAAGCACAGCTCATATAGTTTAATGAAGCTGAAGTTGCTAGGACTTCAGTTAAATCACCCAATACATTAGAACCGCCCGAACAGGGACTTGAACCCTCAGATTAAAAGTCTGATGCTCTACCGACTGAGCTATCCAGGCTCCATGAAGACCATCTTTTGGAGGAAAGTATCCTATCACACGATGTCCTCCTCTTTCTTGAGTGAAAGAAGGATGTGTGGTGTTGAAGAGACATCGGTGGCTAAGTGTAAATGTAGTTGTCCGAAGCAATCTGGCTTTAGAGACTTGCATTAGTAACTTGGATGTATCCAGGCTGGAAGAATATATTTACCGCCTGAACAGGGACTTGAACCCTGGACCCTCAGATTAAAAGTCTGATGCTCTAGACTTTGAGAAAACCATCAACTGGATGATTTCTTCAAGAGATGTCCAACTTGGGATGTGACAAACAGAGATATCTATGGCTAAGTGCAAATGAAGGTATCACAGGGCCAGAAGCAGACGATAGACCTCACCAAGATAGACCAACATTAGATTTCCTTGCAGTCAGGACTTAATTTGCCCAATAACGTATCAGTTGAACAGGGACTTGAACCCTGGACCCTCAGAGTAAAAGTCTAATGCACTACCGTCTGATCTATCCAGGCTTCGACAAGATGGCTCTTCATATACATGTTTGAGCCCATGTGCATTATATGTTAGCTCATCCTTCTAGAGACGTGATTCTCTCCGAGCAAAACCTCTCTCCATTTTGACTCAGGCGACTACAGTTTCCAGTCCTCAACTTTCACTTCTACTACTTTGTTTACTTGCGTATTACATCCATGCTTAAAACTTAGCTTCACTGCTAGCCCCAGACACAATGATGCTTTGTGCTGCTGGGTTTGTTCTCCGGTCGATTGAAAGGCTCCTAACTCACTCTTTATTTTGCCAGTATACAATTTTGTTTTGTGATTCTCTCCGAGCAAAACCTCTCTCCATTTTGACTCAGGCAACTTTAGTTTCCAGTCCGCAACTTTAACTTTAACTTCTTTGTTTACCTGCGTATTATATCCATGCTTAATACTTAGCAAAATTATTTTTTGTGCAGCTGTGTTTATTCTCTCCAGTTGATTGAAAAGCTTCTAATTCACTTCACAAAAAGTTTGCCGATTGATTTGATTCGTGAAAATATTTCCACAGGTCTGGAGGGACTTTTTTCTAGCACTTTTTTGATGACATTTAAATGTTGTGTGGACGTTGCAGAGAGTTCAGTAAGGAGAGGGAGAAGGCGAAGGCTCGCGGAGATTTCCAGAAGCTGAGGGAGAGGCAGCAGATGGAGGAGGATCTGTGCGGCTACATGGACTGGATCACTCAGGCGGAGGACATGGACGAACTGGATGAGGACGGTAACCCACGTAAGATGTGTGTGTGTGTGTGTGTGTGTGTGTCAGAGTCTGATGAGTTTTTAATGTCTCTCTCTTTGTGATATTTAACATAGTGCTAAAGTTCATGTTCATTTATTCTCAGCTCATTCAAAAATCAGTCGGTGATAACAAGTTCATGGATGTCAATTAAAGCAAATTAACTCTAATTGGCTCCATTAGTTAATTGACATCCCTTAATGAAGCCAATTAGAAACAAATGAGTCGGTCTGAGAAGTCGATGAGGCAGGAAACCGAGCTGCTCACATTTTTAATAAAGCACTTTTACGTTTTCTAGTTATTAGACGTATATGACGCTGAAGATTTTTTAAATACGTTACATTTAATTTGTTAGACGCTTTTATCCAAAGCGACTTACATACATTCGGTACTGTGGGCAATGACATGCCGACTGCAGTGGGACTCGAACTTGCTACCCCCTGATTCGAAGATAAGCGCACTACCCACTGAGCCACAGCCTCCCAAATACATGTGATAAACGTATTAAATATAACACATTGTTACAAAAAGTGCCTATTCCTGGCACTGTCATATTTCATGTCTCTGTAGTCCCTGAACAAAATCCCAAAATACCTTCTTTACTTTTCTTTTCTACAACAGTGCTGCTTACATGTTGATCATTTAGCAATACGATACTAAACTGAAGTGTTGCACATGTTAAAAGATAAATAAATAATTGTTTAATTGTTTTCTTTTTAGGTCCTTCTCTGGGCGATCTGTCAGACAAGAAGAGAGGAAAGTTTGGATGGTTCAGTCACTCCAGTGACACACACGGTACTACCTCCTTTAATAACACATATATGCTGTATATAACCACACACACACACACACACACACACACACACACACACACACACACACACACACACACACACACACCACACACACACACACACACACACACACACACACACACACACACACACACACACACACACACACACACACACTGAAGTCTAAATGTAGAAGGAGATCTAGGTCTCTGTGTGACCCTGTTTCTCGTCAGCAGGTTTTGCTCTCCGTCACTTCAGCTCAATCCGGTTCAGGAAAGATTTACTGGCATCAAGTTCAAATGAAAGATAATTGTGCAACACATCTACAGGAAACACACATAACACACTACATAATGAATACACCAACACAGTGAATCATAGCTGCAGGTTTGGTGTTTATAATGAAGATTTAAAAAAATATTTTCCGGCTTTTGGTACAAAACATTACAACAGGAAGCTGATCATATTTAAATCTGCTCAATTCTTTATACTAAGCTTTTCTTAAACAATTAGTGCTGTTTTTCCTCTTATTTAACTGTTTAGATATATTTGTCTCATTCAGACCTTTACATTTAGTCATCTAGTTTAAGCATTGTACAGCATCTCCATGTTGAAAACAAACCCTTCTTTTAACCCTCCTGATTTACTACTTTCATCAATCATAACATTTTTGACTTACATTCGATTGCATTAAGGCTTCATGATATCCTTCACAGTAGACATTTGAACTTTGTAACCCATGGTGTTCCCGGTCCCATAAAGAAAAGGAATCAGTAACCATCCGGATCAGATAAAACACACACACACACACACACAAACACACACACGCACGCACAGACACACACACACGCACGCACGCACACACGCACAAACACACACACACGCACGCACACACACACACTCAAACACACACACACACACACACACACACACACACACACACACACACACACGCACGCACACACACACACACACACACACACACACACACACACACACACACACACACACACACACACACACACGCATGCTCTAAATGTGTTCCCGCTCTTATGTGCCCCTCCCCCCACATGGATCACACCTGGCACACACAATACATATTCAGTGTCTGTTCTTTGTATATGTACTGCAGTTGTTCATGTATACCAGTAGTCTGATACAATATGTACAGTTTGAAAGGGTGTTAAATGACATTTGGTGATTAATGGTTTTTGTGTTAATGTAATAGCAGTTAAAACAGGACCGGTCAAAGTAAAAGTAAAGTAAGGGGGGAAACGAAGACAATAGGAGGGTTAAAATAACATCATGCATTTGAAGGAGGATTTTCAACAATAATAGAATTAAAGAACATTTAAAAATACACAGTAGATTTTGTCCAGACTGGACAGAATCAAGCTTTGTGACAGGAGATGAATAACTTTAAGTTTAGTTTGTAAAGAATGTAATAGATTGTGGACTTAACACATGTTTTTTAGCGATGTTAGATGTGAATAAAGGGTTGAGCTTTGGTTACTTATCACAGTCATTTGTTTTCCTGT